GAATAGGAGGTTTAATGTCAGCCAAGTATAGCAAAATCCTTCAAAGGAAAAATACGCATTGGAAAAAATGTTACAAAACTTGGACAACAATGGTACAGTAAGATGAGGAAAACTGCCATACAGCTTTATCATTAAAAACAAACTTTAAGAATGCATGAGCTCATGTTCATCATTAACACCTAACACAGATAATACAAATGGAAACTCATGCTCTCTCCCCCTCTCGTCGTCAGTCCCAGGCCTCCCATTCCCTTGTCACTACTGCTGTCAGATGATGAGGCTGTGGTGCTGATTCAGGCTTTCTGGAGGGGCTACAAGGTCAGTACACATCATCTGAGGCTAATTCTGTAACCCTACCATGTTAGCCGTCCAGAATACTTGAACAATTCATTTCCACGTGTGGTTTGAAGTCTTATTTCGTGACTGAGTTTTAAGTATACATCCTTGGGTTAGCTTTTTAAATAGGTTTTCAGGATTTTAAACACTTAAATCATATCTCCTCATATCAGTTACTGCTCACTTAAATGTACTACCTACTTAATGTACGTACTGCTACATACTTAAATGTACATGGCATATGGAGCACTCTACTAGATCAGTAAGAATCATTACAATACTGTTCTTGCCCTAGGAATTAATTTTCCAAACAACTAATGTTTGGAAGTAAATGTAACTAAGAACCTAAGTAAAATAAAGCGTATTTTCAGCAAGAGTTCAGAGCACAAAAGTTTGGGGTGGAAGACGCTGGCGACCTTTGAAATGGTGTGGCAATACAAGAATAGCTCGGGAGGAATAGGAAGTAGCTTTGTCTGGAAATAATGGCTTCCAGGCCACGCTGCACACCCTGTCCTGCTTGCGGTGTCGTTTTTCTTCTACAGGCAGCGATCATCCTTGAGTCACGCCTATGACTTCGGTCAACGCCTTGATTGAGTAGTAACAGACACTTTCCAATCTGAGCACCGTTGTTCGATCGGTGTTTTTAAAAGATCCTAATACTCTGGTGAAGGCAATGGCTGAAACGCATACGTACAGTCATTAAGTCATTTCTATTTTTAGCAGCTTCGGAGTATTTAGGAGTGTTTTTGCATTTCAGCTGTTCTTCTGTATTCACCACAGGGAGCTTGT